GCGATTTTGAAATGAAAAACGGGTTTGGCACTCTTTGAAAAATTGACTGCATAAAAAAATGAAAACGTCATGGATTGGTACTTAAAACTGCTTAAACAATTATTTCAAATTAAATTTCAAATTGTTCATTTTAGTATTGATGATATCAATTATTTATTATTGCCTGTGATATGCATCATGACTCAAACTGATTTTTGCCACAATATTTATTTATGCTGCATTTTTAAATTTGAATAATGATAATTGAATAATTAACTTTCTGCTTTCTGATTTCCAAGCAGTTAACAAATATCTTATGTTTCAATTGTGTACACATTATTTCAACATATCACTAAGCAAATAAAGCATCGCTGAGACTGTGAACTTAGTTATAGTTATACGATATTAGTATCTTCGTCTGAATTTTGGTCAATATAATATAAATTTATTAAATTAAAAATTTAATTCCTCCTAAAATTGTGAGATAATTTTATAAAAATATTACAATACGTTTAAACAAATAATCGTGTAATTAAAAAATATTCAAACAATGCATAAAAGAATAATATATTTTTTTAAATATTATATTATCTTAAAATTTAGTTTACTTACTTTAAGGGTTTAATTAATTTTTTAATTTACTTATTTACAATGAAGCAGTAAAAACTTGTTTTTAACGAAATTTGCTTCCAAAAACAATATTGAGGAAAAATTTACATTAACTCAATTGGATGCGCAAATTTGTGTTGAGTTTGGTAAACAAACAATGAATGTTGGCATTCCATTAGCTGCTATGAAATTTCAATAGAGAATCAATTCGTTACGGACTCGAGCTGAAACTTCCCCAAAGTGTTCCATTATGCTTTGCCTTTGGAGATAGAAATCTTGAAAATCGTTATGCGATATATCCGCCGCTGTCTCTCTATAAACGTCTCTCGGCAAGTTTCTTTTTTCCGGAGGCGCGAGAGAAAAATAGGAGGACAAGAAACGGACGTCCTTTCAGCGGATATCGGTGGCAAAAGCAGACTCGAAATTTGTTTGTCCGGGCCGACTTGGGTGGTACGTGGAGTGCGTGCCTCACGTCCAATGTATAGTATTCCCCATTTGATGGTGCACAAAAACGGTCGCCCATCTGTCCTGGCGTCGATTCGTTGCATCGCCAGCCAACAGCACGCTGTGCGGTCATCGCTCAAATCACTTTCCCGCACTGTCAAAACTTTATGGACCCCGACCTTTTAGCCGACGACGACCCTTCTCAAGTAGCACATAAGCCGAAACGGCTTAATCTGATGCTGGCCTTTTATATCGCCATTTTTAGCGCGCGCCGAAGGATAAAAAATAGAGCGAGAGAAGAGACTTCAAAGTTGTTATTCAAAGCGGTGCTCGAGGCACACAAAAAATAAAAACCCCAACGAGTTTCGGTTTTAACTCAAGTGCAGGTGGGACAAGAACAATTTTGCCAGTTTTCAGCAGGTTTCCAGAAAGTTCAGTTTCTTACAGGAAAATTCTCTACAGTCAAAAAATTATTTTATTGAATTATATAACACAATAGGATCTGAAAATAAACTAGCAAAGTTTGTTCAATTTTTATGAAATTTGTGATGGTGTGATAATATAAATAATGATTTCTTATGGTAAATGATATAAAACATTTTTTTTTTTTTTTTTTGCTAAAATGTAAGTAAAATAATTTTTGCAAGCAAAATTTAAATTTCCTGTCTCAATAAAATTTCACACTGTAAGTCAAATTAATAAGGATTTCCGAAGCTAACAACTACATCATTATAATTTCTTAGTTCACTCACTTGGTTTATTGAAGATTGATATGGACGAAATTAAATTTATATACTGTAATTATCTATATTTGTAGGACTCTAATTTTTTTAAATTTGTAATTCTAAAGAAATAACAAAACATTGCTTATTAAAGATAATAATTTTAATAAATTAAATAACTATAAGCTTCACACACACAAAAAAATGAAATTTTTGTATAAAAAATTAAATATTTACAAATATATTATATTTTTAAATACATTAAAATTTTGATAACAATTAGCTTATGGCAATTTCCAGAGCTAAACTTTGCGATATATTTGGCTGAAAAGCTAGAAGAATTATGTGCGCGCGTCAGCAGATTGGATGGATGACGGGCGCGGGAAATGATCATAACTTTTGACACCTCTGGCTCGGCAGACAAATAACGGCTTTCGCGAAAACAAAGAGAGGTTGTGGAGAGTTATTACCCTTATTTATTCTCAAGCTGCCTCTTGTACGAGCAATATATGACATTAGGCAAACGTGTAGCCGGCGCACGTGCACCGGAAGATTAATCGGATTCAATCAAAAGACAAAAGGCCCCGTCGGAGATGGCCCTGCAAATTTGCGCGTGTCAACCCAGCTCGCGGTTCTGGCTTTGCAGCTCACCGGCCGTGGCTAATACACAATTGAAAGCGATGCGTCACCTTTTGTATATAAATGCGCGTGTGTTGTGTTTGCATTCACAACACGATATGTGCAGCGTTCTATTTGTGTTTGCGCCCACATCCATACACACATCTCATCCATCTCTCGCTGCTACATTCACATGCATTCCGATATTCCACCGCAACCATGGCTAAAGGTAATCAAAGCTGCGACTGCGATCATCACAGAGAGACGCACGCACCGTATACGTGCTCAATAAAATCCACCTCTGGGGCTAATTTCGCACGACGGCGCATTCCGCAAAATCACGCCACCGTGTAATCTTTTAATGATATGTAATTGCATTACGCCTAGCCAATTGTTTTGCATGCATAATGGTGCGCTGAATTATTCAGGTCATTTATTGGCGACTGGCAATTAGCGAGTTTGACACGTGCTAAGCCCCGTGTTTGTTGAAGTCCATCTGCGGTAATGACTTTTAATCTTGAATTTTAAAGAACGCAAAATTGAAATAATTATAAAAAATTCTTTCTTTTTATGGTGAAAATGTGATTAAATGTTTTCCACTAAAATTATTATTTAAACCTTGAGCGAAGATTGACAAGTCAATCTCATTGTTTGAATTAGAGTATTTTTGATGGTGATTAGAATTTAAAATCGGCTTTTCCTCGATGGGTTTTGTGACTTGTTTATTGTTTCAGTAAAAACAATGGTATTTTAAATTTATTTAATATTGAATTTGTTTAAAATTCCTGATTTTAAAAGTAAATGTTCAAGGGAAAACAAAAACCTTTGAGGAACTTCTTTTATTTTGCAGTTATTTTGTAACCGTTTGAAAAGCAATATTTTTTATATTTTATATTATTTATTTTCAATTTGAGTCATAAAATTATGTATTTTTTTTTTTTTAAATTCAAGAATATATATCATTGTAAAGGAGGCCCTTGAAGCATCTGCAAGCCCAGTTTGAAACTTCTTGCTTCGCACCCCGACGATCGACGGCAGATTTTTTTTCTCTTGTCATTTCGTCCCGTCGACCCTCCCTGTCATCGAATCTTAATCGATTCCCCGTGTCATTCCGCGCAAAAAGTTTTCCTCGGAAGAAAAGGGTCGGGGGAAAATAAGAGACCTCTCTGCTCAGTGAGCCCCGATTGACCTTGTTTTTTAGCGGAACAAAAAGAACGTTTTGCCTAATGACTGCGCAGGGGAGAGGAAAAACGCGTGTGAGAAAATTTCCGCCACTCAATCAAACGCGATTCAAATGAAAAGCTGCTTTCTTCAATATTCATTATTATCTAACTGCGGACGTCAATTCTCTTTGTTATTAGACAAGCAAAATTGATTTGCCGGATGTATTAAAAAGGATAAAAAATAATGGTAAAAATATTTAGCCGACAGGAAAATAATCATATAGCATAAAAAAATGGTGTTCCTTTTGAATGGTTGAATATTATAAGCTAATTATTCTAATATTTAATAATATAATAAAATAATTATTGCTCATGTTTTAGTTACATATCAAATTTCAATTGATTAAAAATGATATATTTTTTACTTTTTTCTTAACTTTTTGTTTTGTTTTTACAAAAAAATTAGATTTTAATGAAGGATAGGATTAACCTTTTTTTCCAGATTATGTACAATCAATTAAAAAACAGTAATTTGAATGTGTTAAGGAACTGTATCGATTTTGTAAGCTAAAAACCCATGCCCCCTTCACAGAAAATTGAAATCTTTTATATTTTCAATTTCATCTTTACCATCATATTGAGTGCAAAATCAATATATTTTATTGCAAATCGTAATCACTCCATTAAATCACACTTCAATGCTTTTTATGTTATTTTTATAAACGAAAGTAGCTATGGCGATTTGAATTGATTTTTTTGCTATATTTCTCTCTTTCCTGTTTCAAACTCCATGCCTAAAAAAATTATTTATTTCAACTTTTCCATATTTTACTGATATTTTGGTTTTTAATAAAAAAAAGCACTTTTTACCTCTAAAATATTTTGCTCCAGGCGATGTAACAAAACAAGTCGTGCATGATTGCGCTACGAAAACCGAGTGCACGCACGCATACATTATTAACGAGCGGGTGAAATTTCTCTTTTTTTTTGCAATATATCTAAAGCGGCGACTTTTGCACGCGTATCGTGGCGCAAAATGCACTCTCGTCATTGCCAATGACTGAAATTTCCAGTGCCATCAGATAAAATATTCATCAAGTCGCCGTCACGCTCGCGTGTGATTTATTTTTATTTCACGAGCGAGCATCATAACAATGGCACACGGTATATATTTTCCACGAGAGAGCGGCGGAGTTGAGCTTTTCCATTCCGTCAACGGTGTATATCCGAGAGAGAACGACGCCGATTTCGCGATGCCATTTGTTTGTATCAATTTTCCGTCCGGCTCCACAAGCTCTCATTTCTCATGCCAGCGTTTATTGAAATCTATCTCAGTGTATCATTTTGCCTGAGATTCATATCCAATTTCAATTAATTCCAACCTCAAAAGACCCAATTTTTTCCCTCCGAAGACGAATTCCATCAAGATTTCAATATTAATCCTTTCATATTTGTGAAATTGCAGCCAGCAACGGATTGCGGGACCTGCAGATCAAAGTGCCTGAGGCCGTTCGCAGGGGCAGCAGCGTCGAGTTGACCTGCGACTACGACTTGGAGGGCGCCTTGCTTTACTCGATCAAGTGGTATAAGGACGAGCAAGAGTTTTTCAACTTCGTCGCCAAGGAGGCTCCGCCCACAAGGGTCTTCCCGGTCCCCGGAGTTTTGGTCGATGTGAGTTGTTATCATCAACAATTTATGCTTTATTATTGGGGCCGACGGGACAAAGTTACATTGCGGTCCAAACTGACTTTGCTCTCCGAGCTTTTATTAAATCATGTCCGAGTAATTAATTTCGCAAGATTACCGCCGGATTACGACGCAATTAGAGTCGCTCGGCTGCTTTATGCGATTATTATTTTTACCCTCCAGGGTTATATTAATTCGCAGAGACTTCTTGATTGCTCGCGTGTGTGTTTGTTTTTGTTTGTTTGTTGATTTTCGCTGCTCCCCCGCTCCGCAGCAAATATATGCATGAATTTATGTGCGGTGAAATTTCTGCAAATTAGTTTCTGTATTAGTTGTTAAAAGTTTGTTCCCTCGCAGGCGGACTAATTGAATTCTCACTTGTTTATTCAAACATAAGCCGGGGAGACTAGTGGCTGGCTCTGTGCAACGCCAAGCCAAAGTGGTTATATTTAATCGATCCAAACTTTTCCGCTCGCTGCCTTAATCCCGGCGTAGTCTGTGTAGCACTTTTCGCCAGTTTTCAACTCATTATATTAGGATTAGCCGCATACCGCACCCTTCATCAAAACTTTTTCCCTTTCTTGGCCTAGCCGGGCCTCGCCCGCTTTCCTTGATTTAACTGTTGCCCGGAGAATCCAAATGAGCGAGGAGGCAACAGGTCAGCCCCGACACCGCATCGTCGCATCTGCGGAGACAAAAACGTGAGCCTCGTTTGACTAAACGAACACCCCGCTCCATTTGGGAGTCATTTTTCAGTTTCGTACAAAAGCATCAAAGTGAGTGCCTCAGACTTCTTGAGCTTTGCTTCCGAGACGACGTTCTCGAGTGGCTTCAATTATTTTCCCGCTTTTTTTCGAGGAAAAATGAGAATCTCTTTGCGTTCTAATGCACTTGAGCAGGGAAAGGTTTTTCAAATTAAAATAAATTATTTGCTCTACTCCTTCATAATGAAAAAAAAAACAGTAATAAAAAAAAGTATGAAAATGCCAGAAATGAGATTTTTTACCTTGTTAATTATTCTTCTTTGGTGTCCTTTATAATGAAATTACTGTACATGATGATAAATTCTTTTTATATACGATCATTAAGAATTATCGACCAACGATCATATCAGCCGTTCTCTGCAATTTTACAACTTATCTAACAATATTAATGACTCTCGTGAATCAGAACACTAAATTAAAAATATTATTATTTTGTTCAAATTTTGATTTTGATTTTTTAACTAATCTAATTATTCAACGGTGAAAAAACAAATGTAAATCTTAAACACAGATACCAGTGCTCCGTGATCCGACAAACCGAGTGGCCTCTTGTGCCACTGTTGTGAATAAATTGTGAAGTATTTATAAAAGTTATTATCTAAATTATTTAACAATAGCACAAGAACAACGTTTCAACTCATATTTAACAGAATAACTGCAAAAAATTAAATTTATAAATAAAATTATTTAGAAAAAAAATTTATTACGAACATAATTTAAAATACTTTTATAAAAGTGAATCTGTTCAAACTTGAATTCTATTATAAGTTTTAAAATTTGTTTATTTTATTTAAACAACAAAACTTAGTTAGTGTCAAATTAAAAAGGGAGATGATTGAGCAGGCAGTTCTAGAAAAAAGTAAACTAGTTATACATACAATAAGAAGCCAGATAAAAAATAATAATAAGTGTTTCTAGTTATTTCAACCAATTTTTTGTTTTTTAAATCAATAAAATAGCATACATATGTACTTTATTTGTTTATTAGCATGGGAGCTGTCAGAATAACCAAAAAAAGTTTATATCTTCAATGGTACAACGCTTTCTTGACCCTTTCACATTTTGACAGAAACTGTCTTCCTGAGCCGAACAAAAAAAAAACGCAATGCGCATCATTTTCAAGTAAGAAGCGTGTCAGTTCCGCTCACAACTGCAGTATCAACTTCATAAGCAGCCGAGGAGCGGAAGTTTCAGATCCGCCAGCACTTCATTAATTATTATGTTATTAATCCGCCAGTTGCTTAAAGCCCTAGTATCGTGGCGGCGCTCGTTCTAAATAAAAAATAATGCAGCTCCTCGCTGCAAACATTCCGCCAAGTTATTTCCACCCTTTGTAGGCAGCATTAATATTTGAAACAAAAACGGAATCATGCGGAATCGCGAACCGGAAAAACGCAAAACTGGGGAGAGGAAACCGACAGGCAGCCCTCTAATGCGCGATATTAGAGCTACCCCTTGTGCACCATTCGCGGCGCCCCTGGGCAGTAAACCAAAACACACACCCCCTCGGGAGTGCACATTTTGTGTGATCTGCGGTCGTGCGGTGCTCACTTTTGCAAAGAATAAAAGCAGCAGCGACTCGTGCACTTTCAGCCTTTAGTGAAGATTAATTAGACACGGGCAAAGTTTGTTTATAAGGTTGACTTTTAAAGTGGCTTTTACGCAAAAAAGTTGGCCTTCTTGACGCCAACCATATTCTTATCTAGAGGCAAAACGGATGGAAAGTTTTGCTTCTACATTTTTTTGGGTAAATATTTTCCCTAAAAAGCAGCGCTCGTTCCTCTTTTCCTTGAAATGTCTTACTATAAGTGGCATCCTGTCTGAAAATAATGACATTTTTCCTTCCAATCCGTCTCTTTGTTTTCCTTCCAGAACACTCGTTTCGTTTTGTTAAACAAACTGTGCTCTGCGAACAGGATTTTGACTTTATATTCTTTTTCTATTTCCGTGTAGCTCAGTCGTTGAGCGCGCAATATTGATAACGTTGCTCTTTGTGTTGCGGCAGGAGTTTCGGTCTGGCAATAAATCGGTGGTTCTGCGCGACGTGCAGAGGGACCTAACCGGCAACTACAAGTGCGAGGTTTCCGGAGACCAGCCCACCTTCCACACGGACGTCAAGTCGGCCCCGATGCTGGTTGTCGGTGAGTGTATTATTTGGCCCTGTTGCGGCCCCTTTTCCAATCATTTCCTGGTTCGCAGACGTGCCGCAGGAAACGCCGCGAATCGAAATCGAAAAATACCGCTTCAAAACGGACGAGCCGATTTTGGCCAACTGCACCTCGGCGCTTTCGTTTCCGGCCCCCAACATCACTTGGTTCGTCAACGGCATGCAGGTTAGTCGTAAAATTTTTATAGAGACGCTCTTTCTCTTTTCCCGTCGGGATCAAGAGATGACGATGACGATTGTAGGTCAATAGTACCCCCTAACCAAAAGTACCCTGCTTCAAACTATTATTAATTGGATTAATAAAATTTTCATATTTTCTTATTAATTAAAATACAAGTGGGACTGAGATTTGTTTGTACAAATTTATAAAAAAAAAGCTTTAAAAAGCTATTTTAATATTAAATCTTTCATCGCGTCATTTATTTCTGGGAAATTTTGAAATAATATTATCTTTATAGAAAAATTACAATTTATTAATTGGAAAGTTGGAAACAACTAGTTTCAATAATTTATTTTAGAACGTAATAAATTTCTCAATAACTCTATTTGTCTAGAATTGATTTAAATATTTAAAATACAATTTTTTTTGTTTTTCTGACCAGAGCATAACATAATTTAAAAAACAATCATTATTAAAAGAAATCAAATACCAAACAAAAATATAAGTAATTTTTTTAATTTATAAATATTTTTTTATAATAATAACTAAAAACCTACATTTAACTAGATTAAATATAGCTTTATAATAAAAATACAACAAATTTAGAAAAAAAACAGAGTTTCTAGAAATTTGAAAATAACTTCAACAAATTAAAATTCAAGCAGTAAATTTTCTGGCTCACGCTCATTATATTGATAAATAAGAAATAATAATAATTGAACTTATAATTTTAAATGAAACCGAATAAAAAAATAGTTTTGGCACTGCTTCAGTAGAGGTCTGCGGGGTACTAATGTCCGCGTTGAGAGTGGGGTACTTTTGGTCTGGGGGTAATATTGGTTGCATACCAGAGATGACGAGTGCCATAAAATTATAATTTTAGATTCAATTGCTGCGTCTCTCGATTTGAAATTTTCTTCATGAGGAAAAAATGGAAATTCGCTGTTCGCAGATCAGCCCAAAGCGGTCGTGGATAAAGGAGGAGGGCGCCGGTTTGGAGACGGCGATTTCCGAACTGCGACTGTACCGACCCGTTTTCTCCGAGGGCAAACTCAATCTGCGCTGCGTGGCCAGTCTTTTCAACTTGTACCGCAGAATCGGCGAGGCTGTCGTCTACCAGGCTGACCAGGAAACTTCGCCGTGGCCACCTGCTTCTGTCAGACACAGCGATTCGGCCGGCGCCGCAGGTGAGACTTTCCGCATCTTTAGTGGCGAACCGCACGTTTCGCCAACGCGCCCGTTTTGCGATTAACACCTCAAAAGGCGACGGGAGCGAGCGAAATTGTGTTTATTCCCCGGGGATAGCAAAGGCCCGGTGATAAAACTACGCTCTATGAGCAAAATGAAGATTAAATATTACATTTAGAAAGCCTTGCAAACAGGTTAGATAACCTTGGGCTTTGACTGACCAAAGCAGCAATTCTAGCCACTCAATTTTGAAACAAAAATTATAGAATTATGTAGCATAAAAAACTATTTTATTAAATAATTATCTGCATATATATTTCATTTATATACGTGTAACATTATTAATTTTACATTTTTACACAATAACTTTAATATTTATTTATAAAATTTATATTTAACATTTTATGAATTAAAATATTTTTTTTAGTAACATCATATTTTCAATTTGTATAGCAATCATATTATTGAAACAATTTTATTACATTAGTATTGTTCTTTAATTTATAAATAATCTCCCGCTTGAATATCAGGACTATCTATTCTTAAAAAATTAACTTCTAATTTTACTGTTGGCTTTTAGTGATTCTGATTACGCTAATTGATAAATTATTCAATTAAGGTGAAATATATGAAGAAAACTCTGCGATTTATGCTTCAACATAAAATAATATATCATCCTTATGGCTTATTCATAAGTTTTCTTTAATTGACTTTCTATTTGTGACTTTTTGACAAGGTTTCCTCATATTTTAAATTTTATTAATGCTTTCAGCTTTTGTGTCTGTTGATAGAGATTAACAAAGGATTGGATTTTTTTCGATTAGTTGCTAACTTGCTAATTAATCATGCATAGCAAAAATATCAATTTTCTTCAAGTAAAATTTGTCTGTTCAAACCCCTTTTCTGCAATATTTTTTTGTTCATTGTGCCGTTTAAAATTGGAAATGAAAAAATATCTTAATTGAATTTCCAAATGAGACGGTAAGAGGAAATTAAATTGATATATTTCTCTTATTTCGTTCCATAAAAAATCTTACGTTCCATATGAAATTGAGTTTTAAATAAACAATGTTGCTTTATTTCCCACTTCCTGCAAAAGCTATTTCACGGATTAAATTCATGTCATTAATTTGAGAACAAGGAAAATTTCAACGGATTAGAATTCTCTGTTTGCATATCAAAGCGAAATACATTCTATTATTCGCTGAATAAAACAAATTCCTGGAATACCGGAAAATTAATCAGGCTTTGAGGCACCACTGGCGCAATCCCAGCTCGAAAGGCGGAATTATATTTGATTTTCCCCGGGGGTGCGCCGCGTTGTTTTGTTTATTGCGAGAAATGGCAGCAGCTATAGCGGAAATAACGGAGCGAGTAAGTTTTTAAGAAAGAGCTCGTAAGTAAAATTCTTTATGGGTCGCAGCGGTGGGTCTTTTTATGATTTCACTCACTTTGACAATGAAGTTAGCTCGCCGCTCTTTCGCGCGCAAACTTTCGAGATAAAAAAGTTGTCGTTTTCCGCTGCGGTTATTTTTGCTCTCGTCGCGCGCCAACTGAGGAAGGCACTTAGAAAAGTTGGCCCCGAGGATTGACAAGCCGAGTGCGTAATCTGGCTGAAATAATAATTCTGTTCGCAGGACGGAGCTTTGAAGCTGTGGTGGCGGCACTCTTGGCAACCATAATCTCCATCATCAGGTAATTGATGAGGCTGGCAGGCTGCTAAATTAGTCGGGCGCTTTTTGCAACCAACTGCTCGGAAGCTAGACAGACGGACGGACGGTCCGAGTAAGAACAACGAAGGAAAGACTTCACTCGTATTGATTCCGAGTTGGCTAATGACAGAGAAGGAGAGGCCGCGCCAAAACGGATTAATGTTGTTGTTAGTGGTGAGGTGAAGTGGAAAAAAGGTGCTAATTGAGACGGACAAAGCCGAGCATTCGGACGTTTTTAATTGAGAGCGGGAGTGCGCGCCACTTTTCAGTCGCTCGGTGAACGTGAACAATTATTCAGAAATATAATGCGTGTGCTTTGAAGTTGTCACGGAAGGTAACTCTGAAAATTAGCCGATGCCCTCTTCGCCCCCCGAGTAGAGAGAAAGATGTTCTTCGTGCGCTTCTTCTGATTATAATTGGATTCTTAATTGGAGCAAGATTTTAACAAGACTGTGATGTGCCGGCAGCTGGAAAGAGCATCTCGTGTTTTCTGCCGCGCTGTGCTGCTGTTCTCTCGCCAATCGAAAAATGTTTGTGCTCGCATCTTTTGCGTTCTCGTTAGCCCGAATACGACGAGAGAGAGAGATGAGGACGAGGAAGAAAAGAGATACTCTCGAGTGCTATATTGCTCACGCGCCGAGGCGGAAATTCTGTTTCTGTGTGCCCTGCTTGCTCTCCTCGATCTCTCTCTCTCTCACGAACTCACATTTTGCTAGAGTGGCTACAAAATCGGCCCTCCAAAGTCTTGATGAGACAGCGCGTCTTAATTTCGGGCATTCCTCTCTTCGATACATGTGCCAATTTCTCAAGGTCCGCGCGCGTAATAGTTTTTAGAAGCCTTCCCTTTGCGTTACTACTCGTGATCAGCAATCTACCAGACAAAATTTTCAAGTTTAGAATTAATTTGTATTAAAAAAAGCCAAATTCTTGTATTTAAAACAGATAAAAAAAAACTCGCATTTTGCACAAGATTCTTAGATGGAACCGTATCTAATTAAATGGTATACTTGAAAGATTAATAAATGTTCTCGGAAGCTGCAAATTTTCCTTTCATTGCTTGAACTATATTATTATGAATAATTATAAATTTAGGCTAATTACGACATCAATTCATCTAATTGCCGCTTTGAGTGCTGGAGTTTCGAAACGGGTTAGCTTTGACAGCAATTTTAGCCACTCTATGCATTCACACATCCCTCCCTCACTAGCCATTACAGGTCATCAATCAACAGGGTACTGTGTCGAAATGTATACAAACACACACATTTACTTGTCCACTGTAAATTTGCCAACCGCTCTGCGGCCATGTTTGTGCAGCATCACACTTGGCAATAGTGTTAATTAACCATTTCTAATTCAATTAAGTCCCCGTGGAGTTGGTCTGCCGATCAATCTTGCTTCTGTTGTGTTTGCGGTTGTATTTTTTTGTGTAGAGAAAGAAAAAGAAAACAAAGGCCGGAAATGTTAGATATTTACTATTAATAATCAACAAGAGCTTGTTCGTTAATCAATAGAAACCAATCGAGTTTCATTTTCGACGCCTTCCTGCTTCGCTCTCTCTCTTGTTGTCGGATTCCTTTCTTTCTCAATTTCACTCGGATAAAATCAATGAGCTGGTACAGCTGCCACGTGTGTGGGCCGATACAAATGCACCTCCAATAATATACCCGTCGAGTACGGCTTCAAGTTCAGCAAAACCAAAGCGCGGCAACAGCTAGTCGAAAGGACGCCGTGCGAATACCAAATTCACCGAATTACGTTCGGAGCCACGTCCTGCTCTCGAACGCTTTTATATTGATTTCAATTGCCCCAGGGTGTAAAATAAAATAATTTATTGCCACTGTAATACACATGTCGCTGTTTTTACGACTCAGCATGGCCGCAACCGACGGGCGGTTAATTACCGATGTAAAAAGAAGTGTCCTGGTGCGAGCGAGAGAGTTTTTGCCGAGTGAGCTTTCTTTCTTTCGTTCTTTCCGAGATTTTTCGCTTCTTGCCGCGATTGAAACAGAATTCGCTGACGACGGGCAGAATGAGAAATGTTAAGCTTTGTCGGAATAAAAGAACTGGTTAGCAGAAAATTTCTGCTGCTTTTCGACACGCGCTGCCGCCGGGACGAAGCTATTTGTCGAAATTGAGGGAGGGAGGAACGAAAGAAAGTAAATTGCATCACTCTTTTTATTGGCTCTCGATACTGCGGCGCTGCCGAGGTGCCTTTCAGCACCGGCAATTTCTCTCTCGCAGACGCATAATAATGGTCTGGCCAAGATTAATATGGCGAGAGCGGTGGTGAATGCTCTAATCAGAGTTTTCACTCGGCGCTCGCTCGCTCCCTTTCCACTCTGCACAATGGCCGGACGCATTATTCCGCTGCAGCCGAGGGCGAAATTAAATTTTTAAGCCAACGCTTTATGCCGTCGGTAATAACAATGTACGCAGCCGCACACACACCTCGTCGCGCAAAAACACGCCCGTCCAGTTGGCCGAGGCCGCGCGTTGTAAAAATGTTTTACTGCGGCGCCGTGACTGGAAATATTTTTCCAGTCGTAACAGTAAAAATGAGTGGCGTAATGTTATTAAGTTTCAATTTATCCGCCGTGATGGAGGAAACAATTTTTGGTCCGCACGGAGAGAGCAGAATGAATGGCCGGACTGCGATAAACCGTCAAACAAAAACGCCTCAGGCATGAAATTGAAAATGTTACATCATTCGTCTGCCGAGCCATCGCAAAAAAAAGAAGAGCCTTTGGTAATGAAGTGCTTATATGTTTAGCCAGGGACTCGGTTCAATCTCGGATCCTGATGACTTCACTTGTCGGCTGAGGTTTTTTCAACCAACACAGTAAGCTGGACGGCGATGCTTGCTGGCGGAGGAAATCAGCTGGTCATTATGATCAACAAACAAACAACTGCTCTTGATTGAACAAAAAGAAATATCCAGTGGAGCTTCTTCGCTTCAGAAGCGTGACGTAAGCGGGAAAATGTTCTGACAGGGAGAAAAATCCATCTTTTACGCCGACTGAGAAGGGAAGCAATTTGCAAAACGGCAGCAATCATTTTTCTCTATAGTTGGAAAAGTTGAAGCAAATTGAATTGCTGCGTGTAAAAGATAAAATTTTATTGGAAACTAGTTTGAGAGTTTAAAGTTAATTTTTTCTGCTTAAATCTTATTTCATCGTTGGATTTAAATAATTTCCCTACATCATGTATGAAGTAATTTTACTATTATACACTCAACAAAATTTTATTATACATCAACTTGAAAATCTTGAAATGATTAAGTAATGACAGTTCAGAAAAATATGAATTTAATTTGTTGGACTTAAAAAAAAATTAAAATCTAAATAATATAAAATTTGTATTATATTTATAAAAAATAAATTTCATTACATTTTATATATAAAAAACATATTTTTTAGGATTTAATTTTATTTGCATTAAATTGGTAATATGTATAATCCATTGCAAAAAAATTTAAAATAATCGCAGATCCTGGTGTCATGTAAATATAAAAAAAAATTATTATAAAAAATATTTTCTATTTCAAAATATATAAAATAGATACTATTCTTGATGTATCATGCTCAATCTTGCGATCATTAAATAGAAAACACATATAGTTGTTAAATTTGCAGTTTTTATAAAATATGATTATAATTCTACTCCCAGCATCTCCCATTCGGAAAAATATTTTTGCTTAAAATAATAAATTTAATTAACATTCATGGATTCTTCAATGGAAATTTATTACATTCAAATAATCTGGCTAGATATACCATTAACTTTCAAGAATTTAAAGAGTTTTAAAATTTTTTTGCATAAAATCTGTCTTGTCAATTTTGGTTGGTGCATAAAAATTTAAAATCTTTTGAATCCCTGACAAACTGAACCATCTATATAACAAAATCAAAATTAAACGATAAAATTTTACTGCCCTTTTTTATTTCATTAAGTGAAGGCACGACGCAGAGTTGTGGTGGATTCTAGGCTCTCTACATTGAAAGAACCCAGCAAGGGTATTCCTCTTTTTTTTCATCCAGCCGCTTTGCTGGGCTTGTTCAGCCGTCTGGAAATTACGGCGGCTCGAGGGAAGTACCATGTGGCGCAGTTCAGCGAGGGACGACGACGAACCGCCAACTGCGTTCGACGTTATTAATTCCAGCGCCAGTGATATATCTCATCATACCACTTTTAATTGTCCAACTGCTTTTAATTAACCCTTTTATCGCCTGTGTAGTGTGTTTTCAACCTCATGTTTGTATATTTTAATTCAATTTCTTCCCCCTACAATTTTGGTGTGTTAAAAAAAACCACTTTAAACGAACAAGCTCCGGGATAATTTTTTAATGCGCACGAAGAAATAAAATTAATTAGCACACGGGCGAGTTTTGTTAATTCGCAGGCAGCAACTTTCGCATGCAAATAGGCAGAGAGGAAGGAGGTCCGCGTAATAAATTTGGGGCCATTGCTTTCAATTTGGAGCGTGGCGAGGCGAGTGTGGCGGCAGCGGCGGCCTTATTATCATTAAAAAAGATGCGGCGGCACACATTATTTTCAATGCGGCGGCGACTCCTCTCTCCTCTCTCTGCGTTTTCTCTCTTTTCGCAGCGTGCGTGTGTACATGGGCTACATTTATATACATTTATATATACGTTTAATAATATTCGAGCGGAGCGTCGGGTTTGTTACATGACAAGTATCTCAACGGCATTCAGCTTCAGCTCCACCACAACGTCTCCAAATGCCTCCATGGGGATTTGTAAAGGAGCATTATCGTCATGACTATACGCCAACAAAACGATAATAATTCTGTCGACTGCTGCTTCGCTGCTGTATTCAAAGTGGCACATTTTCAGAGCGAACCAGCCCGACTAATTTTCTTTCTCTTTTTCTTCCGCCGAAGCTTTTCCAGTCCCCGCCGGGCTGACTTCCCATTTTATTTTTGTCTCGTCCACTTCACTTTGCATTCGAAATGTAGCGATATTCGAGGGGTTTGCTGCGCTCTCGAAAAACTCTCAACCACTCTCCGGCTTTGTTCCTGCTGCTGGATTTTCTCCGCTAGTTTATTTTGCTCGAGCATCGTTTCGCTGCTGTTGAATGTAAATCCGATTTTTCACATTTTTATGTGCACTTCTGTCGATGCGGAAAAAGTTGCTGGTTTCGTAATGAGCTCTCTCGGTTTGCAAAATATTTTTCAAATAATCCGGCTTTTCGACGTGCATATTTTGATATTGCATTTGCATACCAAATGAGAGATTAAAATTTAATGAGAGAGCATGAATCACAATTAGCGAAGTCGGCGGAATATATTTATTCAGTACAAGTGACTAACCGGTTGAATAAAAAAAAATTATGCGCACAGGTACACGGACCAGACGTCGCGAGTGTATTAAATCATAATTTGAGCCGGTGCCATTCATTCTGCATGAAAGCACATCATTCAACGGCGAAACGTCCGTGAAATGCAAAGCCTGCTGCAAAATTTATTCGCAACCTTTTCAGGAAGGGATTATGAAACGCAAATTTGTTTTTTCACTTTGAAGCGTCAAAGTGAGATGGGCGCGCATTTTTTTTTTCAGCGGCGACGCGATAATCAGCTTTATTTTTTCATCGTTTTAATTGGATTTCCAGCAAATCCAGCCGGCCAGTCAGAACGATTTCGGTGTCAGGTAGAAAGAATTTGGAATTGGAGTCACTCACACGCGCACAATTTTGATTACCGATCGCTTCTGTTTGCTTTAGATTTGGAAAAATTAAAATTTTACTTTTACAGGATGAATTGGTTGATGTACTTATTGTTAGGCTACAATATCAATAAGATTATGTCTTTTTTATTAATTAAACGTGACCAGATCTTACCGTTACTGAAGGAATATATTAAGATTTTTAGATGATAAACTAATTTCTGATGATAACCACATAATATACATTTTAAAGACAGCAAAGTCTATTGTTCTTCTTCATGCATTGTCTGAATTTATTTATATACTAAAAAATGAGATTGATATAGTTTTATGTTGTTACGGAAATATTGTAGTGCATAGTTATTAACGGAGAAAAAATAATTTAATTGTAAAAAATATTTAAAAAAAAAAATATATAAAATAGGATGTTATAATATATAAATTTAAACAAATTTTTGCATTAAAAAGTAAACACTACATTACAATATAAAAGTACTGATTTAATTTGCAAATAAATATTAAATTTTTTTGTCAGATTATTCTGTTTATTTTCAATCTAATAAATTTAATGGAATTGATTAGAATATATTCCAATAGCAAATATGTACTTGTTACAATTTCCACTTATTCGATAATTGGACAAATTAAATCCAGTGCAATGATTAAACTTGATAGCAAAATCACTTTTGGATTAATGATGGTCACACAATTGAAAACGCGATTGCCAAGCTGGCCGTTAAATTCAGATTCAATGACAAAGACCGTAACACGAAAGCAATTTGCCGGACGAGAGCCAGAGAGAGGGAATAA